GCCCTCCCCCCACCACCACCACCACCACCACCACCACCACCACCACCACCACCACCACCACCACCACCACCACCAAAGTGGGAATACCTCAACGAACTGGGTCCTTCTGAGGGGTCCCTGTTCCGGTGAGCTTCTTCGGTTTGACTGAACTGAAGAGGATGTCTCGCAGCAACCTCGTGTCAGAGAGCCGAAGCCCTAATCTATGGGCATGCAGAATTACCAATATATACGGCCACTATTTTTTGGGGTGGTTCCTTTATACACCAAAATCTCCGATCCTTCGCCACAAATTCACAAGCACCTGACGCCACAAGCAGTTTGGTCTTTCTCTCTATGTATTTGGGTTTGTAGTTTCGTGCGGATTGTTAACCCTAAACCCTAAACCCTAAACTCTAAACCCTAAACCCTAAACCCTAAACCCTAAACCCTTTAACCCTAAACCCTAAACTCTGCTGTTTAGGAGTTATTTCCCAGGGCCTAGGGTTAAGAGCCAATACCGTGAAGAAAGTATTAAAACCCTAAACCCTGAACCGAGAGCCCGGACCCAGGCCCTTATCCCAACACATACCGGTTTAGGGTTTAGGGTTTAGGGTTTAGGGTTTAGGGTTTAGGGTTTAGGGTAGAGCCCAATACCCCTTAATTTAAGGAATAGACCCTAGATCATAATATTAAGGTCCCCCCATAATTTAAGGTATATTCCTTGATTAAGGGGTATTGGGTTCCCTGGGTAGGGGATCCTGAACTTAAGCCCTAAGCAAAGTGTTTTCTATGCCCGCACAGATGGCCCAAGAAGAGCGCTGGTTCAACAGCGACAGCGATGTGGATGAGGCCCCTTCGTCACGATGCTATGACGTAGGGTTTGTGGGCGGGGGGTTCAGGGTTTCCTGTTTACGCATTCGGTTTGGGGTTCCAGGGTTTAGTGCTTGTGGTGCCTTTACATCCCTAAACCCCAGGCCCTAAACTCCAAACCCTAAGCCCTAAACCCCAGACCCTAAACCAATAAGATTATTCCCCAGGCTTCATTCGCATGTTGCAGGCATAAACCCTAAACCCTAAACCCCAAACCTTATAACCCTAAACCCTGAACCCTAAAAGGCATAAAGCCCCCAAAGCCCCAGGCCAATTCATGGAGGCTCCCTCCTTAAGGTTCCCGGCCAATTAGGGTTTGGGGCTTACGGTTTAGGGGTGTGGGTTTCAGGGTTAAGGGCTTGGGGCTTGGGGGTTTAGGTTTTAGGGTTTAGGGCGCTTAGGGCTTTGGGTTCAGGGGTTTAGGTTTTCGGGTTTAGGGTTTAGGGTAGGCGGGTTCTCAGTCTCGCAGGTTCAACATCCAGGCGTCAGGCAATTGCTGCTGGCCGTACGAGACTTTCGTTCCATGTAACTCACAGTCCCCTTAATAACTTAAGGACTTTGTGTCGGCAGTGGCGGGGGCTCTTGAACCCTAAGCCCCCAAACAATCTTAGCCCAAATGCCCTAAATCCCGAATCGACAAAGGGTTCGATTCGGCTTCCGATAAGCCCTAAACCCTGAGGACTCTCAAATCTTGAGCCCAACTTGTTGTGACAGTTCATCGCACTGAAAGCTATAAACCCCTAAACCCTAAAAACCAAACCCTAAACCCTAAACCCTAAAGCCTATAAGCCCTAAACCGTAAGCGTCTCGGGGGTCTTGTTAAGGATTTAGCTGGGTTCTGGAGTACCATACTTGAATACTTGTGCTCGACCTGCTCCTTACAGGAACCATATATAGTAAATCATACGGTTCCTTTTATTGTGCCTTGAATTATATGTTCCTTTTTCAAGAGCCAAGTTTTCGTGGTAAGGAGCTTTGAACCCTGAACCTCGAAGCTGCAACCTCAAGACAATGCAACCTTAGAGCCTTAAAGCTTAAAACCATGGGAAACCCAAACCCTGAACCTTGACTTTGTGCACAAGGACGGGGCAAATTCATCTGCTGAGGAGCAGCAGGTGGGTTGCAGCTTCCTGGGGAACAGAGTTGCAAGTTGTTTAAACCCTAAACCCTAAACCCTAAACCCTAAACCCTAAACCCTAAACCCTAAACCCTAACCCTCAACCCTAAACCCTAAAATGCCTTGTAGCGCAAGGCCGCCAACCCGGGGGTTCTATGATGGGAGCCAGGAGTTCTGGTTTTCAAGCGTTCTGTCAGGTTTGCCGAGGATCTTCCAGAGGACCCTAAATCCTAAACCCTCTAAACCCTAATCCCCTAAACCCTAAACCTCAAAGCTAAACCCTAAACCCTAAAAGCTAACCCCTGAACCCTAAACCCTAAATCCTAAACCCCTAAACCCCCTAAACCTTAAACCCTAAGCCCCTAAACGGACGGGGGTTTAGGTTGGCAAGGCTGGTTTTGTGTGCTTGGTGATCTCTTCGAAACGTGCTACCCTATGCCCTAACCGGCTAGGGTTTAGGGTTTAGGGTTTAGGGTAAACCCTACCTGGGAATCCAAAAACCCACCGTTTTGGGGGTTCTACCCTCTACTTAAAGGGGTCATAGCCTACTATTTTGTAGGGTTTGGGGTCACAGGTATGCCCTAACCGGTTTGGGTTTAGGGTCTACGCCCCCCCCCCCTAGTAAAGCCTTATAGGGTTATATTAGGGTTTAGGGTTTAGGGTTTAGGGTTTAGGGTGTAAGTGTTTCGGGTTTAGTGTAGGGGTTTGGTTTAGGGTTTAGGGTTTCTTGATCAAGCCACTTGTGCATGGTCTGGGCTCTTCTGTAAGCTTATAGAGGACCTCGTCAACACATTCTCTGCACCCCACCTCTTGTCCCCATAGCAACCCATGCAGACCCGAGAGGTCCGAGTATTAGATAATCATATGGGTAGTTGTCTAAATTAGGGTCCCTCTTGGGGTCCTTTTTATAAGGGTGCCGTACTATAATCCGGACCCCAAGAGGGAACCCTAATTTAGAGAACTACCCATATACTCGCCTGTAGTAACCTATTCATAACTACGATCCGAAGCCTAAATACCTACCTATAGTCTCCATTGTAGTTCCTTTTTTGGCTTGACCAGTTTTATATTAAGGGTCCTAAAAAGGTAACCCCAAAAAGGATCTACAATGGAGACTATAGGTAGTTATTGGGTCCTTTGGACGTTTACGGAGAACTCACAAGCCCCATTTTTGATCCAAGTCGCACGGCAGACTTTTCCTTTGGTGAAGCCCATCACGTAGCTGCTGCCCTTTGCTTCGAAGTTATCTAACACCGAAAAGCTTGAGCCAAGGATCCCCATTGCCCCACGAGGGCCTTGGGCAAACCTCCTTCCTTCGACTAGCGCCCTTTCGAAATTTGCCGTCGGCAGCTTCCGTCGCACACGGAGTCCGCGCCGTCACTTCGTGGTGGGCGCCCGCCTCTGCCACCGCCAAAGCAGGCAGGAGGGTTTGGGGCTCCCAGGCCTGTGTGTTTTCGGGTTGTACCTGTAGTCTCCTTTGTAGTTCCTTTTTTTGGTTCAACCCATTATATATTAAGGATTGTAAAAGGCATCCCCAAAAAGGAACTACAATGGAGACTATAGGTATGTTTTGCTTGCGACCGTTTTGCGGGCTTGGGTTTGTTGGGGCTTCAAAGTTCAATCTGGGACGCCTGAAGATGTATCGAGCAGGACGAACAGGGACTGCGACCAGTGGGGGTGCTGGTATGTCCCCGTTTGCTTTCAAATTTTTCTCTTCTAATCAGGAAACTATCCCCAACCCCCTGTCCTCATACCCTACAAGCACTGAGCCCTGTATACATCCCTGTATACACACACTGTATCCTACATCCCATGTGAAACCTTTACTGAATACCGTGAGCCGGCACAGGTCTGGCAGGCGTCGTCCGCCCCCGCGCTCCCGCAGGCCGCGAGTCATGGCTATAAGTGTTAGGGACCAGGAATTCAACTGTGTTCGTTGGCCCTTTTGGGTTGAAGGTTTGCGTTTTACAACTTCTAAAGTCGGAAGCTGCGTTCCTTTTCGGTGATCAGGTGCTTTCGGTGGTCGTCATTACGCATTTGTTGGCACTGGCTTCATTACCCTAAGGGTCCATGTGCTCCTATAGTATATATACATTGGCCTTAATGTACAGCCTATATAGCTACTTTAGGGCCCATGTATGTGCTATATTAGTACATGGACACTTAGGGTTAGGTGTTTGTCCTTTGGGACTTGCACTTCAAGAGCCAGTGAAGGTGCAGACAGAAAAATCGCCCGGCAGAACCTATAACTTGTTTTGGTTCCGCACCCGACACAACTTTTGCTACCACCATGCAGATCCAGAAGAAGTGACACGTGAACGGCTCGTTTCTCAATAGTCTTCTTTGTGTCCCCTCTCGGAGGTAGCTACTTATCTAGTATAGGGGCCGGGCCTTCATAATTGGAATAGGGTTTTGGGGGTAATAAAATCACTATAGATATCATAAAGACCCCCAAATTAGTATAGGTATTTACTAAGGCCCATATATTACTTCCGGTCCTTTCAAAACGGGCCTCGCCATCACAGTACATACATACATACATACATACATACATACATACATACATACATATATATATATATATATATATAAAGATATGCCCATTCATAATGTGTATGCACACGGTATAGGGTTGGGGTTTAGGGTCTATACTCTTTATCTGAGACCTTGGACAAGGCTGCGCAACCCGAAGCCAACGAACGGAACCGCCTCGCAGGCCGGTGACCGGTTGTCGGATGAGGAGCCAGAAGAGGACGCCAGGGTTTACGCTTTACCTGTAGCCGAAAAATCCTACCCTTTTAGGGTTCCTTATTATGGTTTCTATACATAAGTCCTTAAAAGGGGTAGGTTTTTTTGGGCCACGGGTAGGTTCTCGGGGGATAGTACAAAGTTGCTAGATACAAGTAGGTATATCGATGGTTCGAACATGTGTATAATATGTGTATATATGCGTGTGTGTGTGTATATATATATATATATATATGAAAATACGTGTGTATATATATATATATATATTATATGTGTGTGTATGTATGTATGCATGTATGTATGTATGTATGTATGTATGTATGTATGTATGTATGGGTTACTGTAGGGGTAACTACCTACAATGGTTTTGCGAGTTACTGTAAGGGTTACTAAAAGTGTGGGGTTTAGGAATGGAGCTGAAATATGGGGGGGGGGTCTTAATTATTACCTATACTATCTTGCGGGGGGATTCCTTATCATACTTATAATACAACGTACCCCAGAGCCATTCTAATTATTACAGTAAGGCCCCGACATTATGTAGGTGTTAGTGTCCAAGGTTGAAGATGGCTGTAATGGCAGTGGGCTCCCATGGAACTGCTTCTGAGTTGGAGGTGAAGAGTACAATGTTTAGGATGTTCAGTGTTTGCAAGGCTTCTGAGATTAAGAGTCTAGGGCATTTATATTATATATCATGGTATAGTGTATAATGTCATATTGCATTATAGTATATATTAAGACCCTAAAGCCTAAAGCCGTAACCCATGTTTCGAAACGCGAAAACCCCCGAAGCCCTTCGACTTTGCCTGCTACACCCTAAATCCCAATTCCTACACTCGCAAAAACCCTCAACCCCACAAGCCGTAAGCCCTAGACCCTAAACCCCAAACCCGAAACCCTAAACCCCCGAACCTAAACCCCAAACCCTAAACCAGACCCTACTACGCCCAAACTCTCTCAGCCCTACAAGCCCTATAATCAGGAGCAACCATCTTTTGAGACTGACGAGGCTGATGACACACAGCTTTTCTGTAATTGCTTTTATAGCAGTAGCTATCATAGGGTTATGATGCGGGCTACTGTAAGGCTGTAAGGGTTGTTTTACAAGGTTTCTGTTGAGGGTGTTATGAAAAGGGTAGCGATAATGAGGCTATAGTTAGGATTTAAGATTGGCGTCAGGGGGGGTGTTGGAGTTTGATACCGGATTATATGTATCGGTTCTTTGAGGTTTCGGAGTAGTTGCATAAGGATTTGAAGATAGGAGGCTCCACCATTGCATAACCCTCATGTGACATGCTTGCTTTCCCCAAGTACTTCCGGCTCTTATCATCATCCTTGTCGTTTCTACCCCTAATGGTCCATGTACCCAAACACTATATAAGACTATATACTTTGGCCCCAAAGTATCTACATAGGGACCACTTTAAGGCCTATGTATATACTATTTGGGTCCTAAACCCTAAACCCTAAACCCTCAACCCTAAACCCCTAAACCCTAAACCCCTAAACCCAAAGTATCTACATAGAGACCACTTTAAGGCCGATGTATATACTATTTTGGGACATGGACCCCA